TTTGACTGGGACACTGACTTCAAATTCTTCAAATTCTTGTCTCTGTGTCCCACCCTACCCATCACGGGCGGGCGGGCTCGGGTGCATTGCTGGCGGTGGTGGCAGCCACAGGACCACAGACATGCAAAAGACGCAAAAACAAGTCTCCCAAAACCTTGACGCGATTTCGTGTTTTTACAGGAAAACGAATCCAGATCTCAGCAGCACCTAATTCCTGTACATAAGTCTCGAGCATACGAAAGGATTTCCAGCGACCTCGCCACTGAACACGAATCAGGTCTTCTGACCACAGACGAAACAGGTAGGTGGCGCCACCGGGCCTCAGTGAGCTTGGCAAAAACGCGACCGTAGTCAGCACTTCACGCTGCACCAAGTCCAGCCTGGTTTTGAAAGAAGCCAAAGAGCCGCACCAAAGCTTCCGCCACATCGGCATCGAGCCGAAGATCGTCTGCACCCAGCCGGCGATGCCGGCCTCGTCGAGGCGCACATGTTGCGCCGCAGCTGCCCGAAAACGAGTTTTCGGCTGGGAAACTCGAATGTAGATCACATTGTCGCCCCAATGGTCTTGCGGGAGAGACAGATCTTGTCGTCGCAAACCTATAAGCTCTGAGGGTCTCAATAATCCAAAAAAGCCCAGTACCAGCAACGCCGCAAAGTGCGGCCACTGCCATGCCATGGCAGTACCCGCAAGAGCATAGAGCACTTGCACCGGCATAGGCGGGTGATGAGTGACTGGCTCCAACATGTCCCATGTCTTGAGTACGCTCCAAGGCGCGGCAAGAGAGGATCTGAGCCAACCAAACTTTTGGACCACCACATTCAGAGTCTCGGCTGCTGACCTGCGGCTCTGACCATCCAGATATAAGGTGACCATATATTCTTCGAGCCACTCGGACAAAACATCGATGTGATGCCGAGCCAAATCCTCCAAAGTAACCTCGGGCAGTTGAGTTGCCAACCAAACCTCCAGTTTGGTAAGCAGGTCCTGTCGGATGCTCTGAGTACGGGCCGTCACACGACCTCGCTTGATCAAAGCACGGTCTCGCACCTGCATCTGAGGAGGTCTGGGAGCTCCGCTCACCATTCCGCAACAACAAAGAACCAGCCAGAAGAAACCAGCGGTTGTAGGCCCGTGGCAAGCCCTGCAACTCATCTAGCTGAATCAAAGCCTCGCGGGCGCCAGTCCGCAGCTTCCAAAACCAAACTGGTAGGGGGGTGCGTGCGCCTAACACCTGGTGATTTCGGCTTGGGCCATCCGCTCTTAGTGACCAAGTAGGGAAATGAATGCTAGACACATGCAAGTTTTTACCTAAAATGTACGGAGCTTCGGAGCGCATAATTCGATTGAGGGAAGCGGAGGGGCTCCGCCCTTTGCCCAAAGATCCAATGTTCACACGACTGTCCTGAGCAACCACAACCCTTTTGTCACGACCTAACCTTTTAAACAAGGTTCGCCGCGCTTTAGTTTCCTGCAAATTAATGTGTTCTTTTTGGCGAAACTGGTATTTGATCCAAGGTTTCCACGTCAAACCTTCTGACAGCTGCACGGCCCACAAGGCCGAACCTCCTTTCCGCTTCCGCCGTTGGCGCGGGGCCAAAGTTGAGTCAACGCGTTGACAAAAATGAGAAGTGTTCCGATCTCCATCCCCCGCACAAAGCAAACCTTCAGGGGCATCCATCCCAAACGGATTGGGGGGGGACACAACCAGAGCCCATTGCACAAACACGTCAGCCACGCGGTCACAAAAGGAGTTCGAGTAGACCCCCCAGTTGGTGGTATTTTCCCCTTTCACCCCTTTCGCAACCAAGTGTCGCTGTTGAACCTGGTGACAACATCGCAAGCCCAGCCGCCGCACAGGCGGAAAGTTAGAAATTAACTTAGTCGTTTTCCTACAGCTCTGGCCAAAGCGGCACCAGTCAAAAAGCAGCTCAAAAACACCTGTCATCGTGGTCAAATGTATCCAAGGAGGGAAGGCTTTCAAACAGCCTCTGGCAGGAGTTTCTCCTGTCATGAAATTTCCGACCGCCATTTGAACACCTGCCAGCAGGATGCACTGGCAAACATGAAGGTTGCCTTCTACCACACGTTCAGTCAACACGTCAAAACCCCATGGGTCATCCAGCGATCTCACTTTAGGGGTCCTAGCCAAAGAAAACGTAGTACGGGGGGGGGGCCCACCAAAGAAACTTCACTTTTCTCGCTTTAATAAACGACATCAACCCAACAAACGCTTGAGGATCCATAAAGCTCCAACCCTTTTTCAAATCCAAAGGCGGGAGAACACGCAACCATTTCCTTATCCAAGATTGAGACATTTGACCACATTCGGCGGAGATTTCCAACAGATCAAAAGGCTCTTCGGACAGAACCAGCGCAGGAGACTCTTTCCTGAGACAGTCAAGAAATCCATGCTCCCAATCGCACGCTTCTCCCCCGCCCCCAATACTCTCATCAGAGCTTGAGTCCCACAGATCTTCCTCATTATGACCGCTACCCTTCAAGGTAGACTGCAACCGTGTCAGCAGAGGCATGCGGTACCCCACCTTGTCTCCTCGACGCCAGACCTCTTCCGACACCATTTCCCCCACCTCCACCCGACAAACACCCGCCCCAGACGGAGACGCATCGACGCAGTAGAGAAAGGGGTCCGGGAGAGCGCGGGCGTCGCAAATACAAAGGGGAGCGCAACAGGCCAGAACCAAAAGTTCGTTTCGGGCGCCGGGAGACAATTTAAACAGCTCACCAGGGTCCCCCGGGGAAAGTTGGTGGTAAATTTCGTACATGAAAGAAAACAGGGGTCTGCGGAACTGTAAATTGAAAGCCCACAGCCCTGTGATCGCCTCAATCATTTTTTCATCCACTGGCCCCGCTTCAGTCATCAAGACCGAAAGTTGAGCCAGCTTGAGCAGTTTGTTCCGGGCTCGTCCAATGAGCCCTGCGATGCCTTCCACCTCGGCACCCCATACTCGTGCATGAAAAGCTCGTCGAACTTCCTTGCCTTCATGGGTTCGGAGCTTAACCGAATTATAGGCAGAACCTGCCTGAGCAAAAGCTTCCACGTCTCGACCAGGCTGGGAAAGAGTTTTCTCAACGCTGCCTTTCCAAGGCAACAACTGTTCCCCCAGGTGGTCATCAATCATGATGCCCTCATAGAAACCACTTTCGGGTTTTGGGATAGGTTGTCTATAGTTCAGGGTTTCGTCAGGGAGAAGAGCGCCCCTACTGCGTAACAAGTTCACATGACTTTCTTGAGCTATGTCAACCGCAGCATGGTCGCCCATCCCCAGACCCCGAAAACAACACACCAACTTGTCATGTTTCGTGATCCGATTGGCTGCCAGAGCTGCCTTTGCAGCGTTCAAATGAGCCACCTCACCCCACCGCAAAATTGGCCCGACTGGGCTGCTCCGAGCCCTCGCTTCTGTAGCTTCATAGGCGTGGTAGAAGTCACGAATGTCATCAACAGAACAAACACAAACCTTGTCCTTTCCCAGAGGCAACTGAGTCAACAAAACACCATGAGGAAGGTTCCGTGACTCTCCTACCACATGATACTCTCTTTTGTTCCTACGCTTCCTGTGCAAAATTTGACGGTCTTTATCCATATCTTTAGCAACAGCAAAAAGCTCACACCTATCCAAAGAGCAAACTTCATCACTGCGACACACAAACAACCGGTCCAAAACATCCCAACGAGAAAAGACTTTTAACAATTCTGCACGGGTAGCGGTGCCCTTTATGTGCATCGGCGGTGGCATGTCTTCCGGGGCTTTGAGGATCACATCGGGGTTCTCATAAATCTCCCGAAACTTTTCTGACAAATAAGGCCTTGGGTCAAAGTTTGACACCTGAGAAGGGAGACTGAGCCTCTCAGCAACCACTGGAAGTGCCTTGGTGGCAGCAAAAGCTGCGTCTGAACTTTTCTCGCCAAACGATCTCTTTGAACGGGCATACGGCAAAACATCACATGCACTTAATTCAGATCTCAGCTGGTTCAGATGATCTTTCACAGCTGGTAGCCGGAGGCCGCATCCAAGCTCCGGGGAACTCAGGCGAACCATCGAGCGACTCAGCTTCAGGAGGAAATCTGTCATCTCCCTCTGTGCCACATTGAGTGGAACTCCACTCCTCCCTCGTGCCGGGGCAACCTTCACTCCCAGAGCTTGATGGCTAAGAGCGCAGACCATGAGGTTGGTCCACAATTCAGTCGCCCTCCGAGCGCGGAACCTGGCTGCCCTTCTCCGGGATCGTCCTCGAAGCGACATGTTGTCATTTCTCCAAGGGAAAGGAGGCGGGCAAGGAAACAACTCCTTCTTTGAAGTTGGTGGTGGTGGAGCTGCGCTACTGGTAAAAGTGCTAATCACATAGCAGGAGAAAGGCAAGGAAGACCGCCGCATAGAATCCAGAAGGTCTTCCAACCAAGACGCAATTTGGTAGTCTTGGCCTTTGGAAAAAGTCGTAGTGCTTTCGTTCTTCAGCTCAAGGTCTTCGTCTTGAACTTTCACTCCCCTTTGTCTTTTTGCCTGTCGTCTTTGTTCTTTTGCTCGCCTTTGCCGCCCCCTTTTCCTCTCTTTTTCAGCAGCCATTCTTCTTCCTTCAGCTCGTTGATGATCGCTCCAATCCATGTCGCGTCCATCAGTCGCGTGTAGATGTACTGCTTTCGGATTGAGGGAAGGTCTTGACTGGCCCAATGGGCCCACGGCGGCTCTTCCACACCTGTCAGGCGGCTTGCCACTCCCCAGCTTTCGTCCAACAAAAACTGTTCCATGGCTGCCATCATGCGTACAGTGTGAAGGCGGGCTTGTCGAGCCTTTCCTTCCAACATCAGCTTGTGAATGGTCGCAAAGCCTGTCAGAGCATACCCGGCAGTTCGAGATCGCCCAACCGGGACTGACTGGATGAACTTTTCGGGGATGGTGGGACCCATCTCCTCTGCTCCTACAGCACGCTGCATTCGCATCTCCATTCTCTCCAAATAGGCTCCAGGGTTTTGCTTCATGGCCGCTCGAAGCTTTTCCACCGCCTCGATGGCTTTGCCTCCTCGGCTGGTGGAGGACCAAGTCTCTCCTCCTTCTTCTTCTTCTGAGGAACTGCCGATGCCCCCTATCAAGCCCGGCAACTTTTTGCTCTTCTTGCTTGTCTTTCCCTGAAGGTCCTTGAGTAGCTTCAACATACTGAGCTTCATCATGTCGTCCACAGAAGGCGTTGAAGACGACGCAGCCATCTCTTCTTCCACCAAGCTGACTAGCTCCTGCGCTGTGGTGCGAGCTGCAGGTTCGTCTAAGACTTTGCTGGGACGAGGCCCAACCTCTTCTTTCAAAGCCTTCAAAATGTCGGCCCAATCTTTTTCTTCTGACTTTTCGACCACCTTCTTCCCAGGCTTGTCCTTTGCAACTGTGCTTTGGTGAAGATTGGAAGGTTTGCTGTCTACTTTTCTCTGCAGCTGGTCCATGCGGCTTTCCAGTTTTGCCAAAGCAGTGAGCACTTGGTCTAAGCCCTGAGGCTCCGGCACTGGAGCTTCTTGGGCGGTTTGCCATCCCGTGTCTCGAAGTGACCCGCTCATTACCCAGCCTTCCACCGCATCGTCGAGCTCCGCAAAGTTGGGGAGGTCCTGGCTGTCCGCAAACCTTTTGTGCTGGCGACGGCTGCGAGGCGCCCTTCTTTCCAGGCTGTGTCTGACATCCAGAGTGAACTCTACCAACTGCACCTCGATGATCTGATCGGAGTTTTCCTGCAGACTGACTGTAACCTGAGCATTTGGGCCCATCAGGTCGTCGGCTGCGGCCTGTTGGCCCCTTTCCAGATCCTCCTCTGGAATGGCATCTCCCGGCACAGCCAGGATAATTCCTGTGCTGCTGACTCGACAAGGCAAGCAGATCGCCCACGCATCGCTGTCTGCGGGCCACTTGAGAAGAAGGACATCGACTTCGTCTCCTCGAGGGTTGACACACTTCAGGGTCTTCAAGGCTCTCTCGGCAACCGGCATGTTGCTCCTGCCAAGTATGCTCCACCTGCGGCGAAACTGGCAAAGGCTGTTGACACAGGGCTGTGACGATCAGGCGCTCTAAGTCTCTCCTGGAGCTTGACAGCTCAGAAAACAGCTTGCACGTTCTTGGTGTACCAAGTCCAATCGTGTCGGAAGAGTCCAGGTTGGAAATCAAGAAGGGCTGCTGTCCCGTCTTGTTGCTTTTCAACCTCACAGGCCTGTAGGGTATTTCCCCACGCAAGCCACTTTCCAGCACCGTCAGCCTGTCGCTCCAGAAACAAAAGATCCCCAGTGCGACAAACACTGAGATCCGGATCTGGGTTCTCCGGCTCACCCCCTGAAACTTCGTCCCAAGTATTCTGATCACCAGTTTGAGATGAAGGTGCAAGTTGGTCGTGATGGGAGTATGTGATGTGTCCTGAGGGTCTTGCAGGTGGCTTTCACGTGCCCTCACGCACGGTAGCGCAAGAGGCGGTCTTGCCCCACCAAGCCGCCCTCACGCGGTCTGATCTCTGCCTCTTGCAGCAAAAAGACCAACAAGCGCGTTCCAAACCACTGCAGTCGAGGACTCAGGCAAATTGCCACCACACAGCCACCAAGGCAGCACCCAATGCACAAACAAGTGATAGCCAGAAGTAGGATTTCAGCAAGTCGAAAAGGGTGATCGCACAAACCCAGGACGGGGCTCACTACACTCAAAAAATCTTTGAGCATCCAAACAGAAAGCTACAAACAACACATGTTGACTGCCCTTCCATGAAAACAATGCCGTTCCATGTAGGAGAGCAAAACAGTTTGTATCGTCCTTGAAAACCAATGGTATTCACTTCAATTCGGACCCAGAGAATTTGGGAAGATGTATGGACCTCCAACTGGTACCCCTGCATGGCTCCCCTCCTTTTGTCTCTGCCTTTTCTCTCTCCACGCATAGCAGCGCGTCAGCACAGCTGGCGGCGACGGCAGAAACTGACAGAGGGGGGGGTCAGTCTGCCCATCAGATCTGGAAGCTCGGCAGATCCGCTCGGCAGGGGCAGTGCTCCTGCGCATCCGAGTCCTTCCAATAGGGGCGCCCATAGAGCTGCAGCCTCAGACTGATGAAATTGGCCGGCGCTTCGCCAGGGCTCCGTTGATTGTCTTGGACTTCTTCATGGATAAATCGCCGGAAGGTGGGATTTGGATTCGTGTCATGCTTTTGGAGGGAAGTGTGAGCTGTTCTTATCGTGTTGAGCAAGGCAGAGGGCACGGTTGCGTGAGCGGTCTTTTTTCTGGCTTGAGGGGAAGGGACAAACTATATATCGTGTCCCCAGTGGTAGTCAAAACAACCTGTCTTTGTCTGAATGTTCCTCAAGAAACTGAAGCTTCCCAACTCCCAAATACCGCCCTGGCACTCACCATGCACCCCAAACCATCATTGATCCGTTTGGGCAACGCCTTTTTGATTCACTCGGCATCTAGCAATAAAGGCACTGCTGGGGTGGGGTCACAGTGCATATAAAACAATTATAAACCTGCCAACTGCAGATGAGGGGCATTGACTCTGCATGGCGCCCTTCCCACACTAAACTAAACATGCATGCGAGTCTGCACAGGGCGGGGAGTCTTTTGAGTTGCTGTTGCACGACCCACAGTAGGAGAACGAAGGTACCTGTAACAGTTCTGGTGTGTTGCATAAGTTCTGAAGGCCATGACAATCAACGGCCCTCCGCTCAGGCTCAGATGGGTGAGCCCCTTCCGCTCTGGTTTGGATGGAAGAAACCCGCCACCGCCAAACACTCACCGCGTGAGCCGCCTTCCGCCAGTCTGCAGACAGGCTGCGAGATCAGCTCCTGATGCTCCACGAAAATCCGCCTACTCCAAGGCTGAGGGCTTTCCAGGTGCCACTCCTCAGCTTGATGGCTCTGCAAGAAGCTTTGGTCCATCATGTCTGGATGTCTGGGGTTTTCGCAAGGCCAGGCCTTCCGACACCCTTCCGGCACGGACTTGTGTCCGACTTGTGCGACTTGTGCTCACTGTGCTCTGACCGGCCCCGTCGGGCGGGCGGCCAACGATCCCAGGAGGCAGTCCACCAGCACCGTCGGACGGATTGGCTGGGTCGAGGAAGAAGGGCGAAAAGGTGTTCAGCTTCTGCGAGAAAAGCAGCACAGGACTGGCAACACCAAGATGCCGGCCTTGAACCGTGGCGGTTCAAGGGAAGTTCAGGTGGATAAGGGGTCCAATTGTCCAGTCGGCACAAAGACATCAGTTCAGCTTAGGGTTACTTCATGTGATTTCCCCTGCTCCACATCTTGCTTTATCCACTGAGGTCCTCTCGGTCTCGCTCCAAGAGTCGCTGGGAGACACCAGGCGCGCTTTCTCCGTCAAGACTTGTGGGAAGACCTGCAAAGACGTGGAAGGCGTTTCCAAGGGACCCGGTCTGACCCGAATCCACCGGCTCGGACCCTTTGGGGTATCCTAGCACTGCTAACATGGAAAACGAGCTTGGCCGAGCTCTGTTTCTGTGTCCGACGGCAAGTGCCGGAAACGGGGGAGAGGAATGTGAGATGAATGTCGCGTCAGCAGCTACAGCTGCCCATAGCTCCTTCACCTGTTCCGTTTGACAAGGCATGCAAAAACAATATCCCCCAAGGCCGTGTTTTTGTTGACCGCAGTAGATGTCACATGATTCAGCAGATCTCGTGTCCAGCGTATTAATCACATGGTCCAAACTCAGAACTCTCACCGCCGACTGGCCGAGCTTCCCCCCAATGCAAGCCGGATCAATCCCGTGTTGCTGACCGACTGCCTGCTGCGGTGCTGAGAAGTTCACTTCCATCTCCACAAAGTCCTCATGACAAGGTCGAATGGATGACGCGAAGCACTAGTGACTATAGTGGATGACGTGTGTTGCGGCTGAAGACCAACTCACTGGGGACGTCCTCCAGCTATTCATTTGACCCTTCAGGACACGCGTGGAACCTCGCTTCGCTGGACCGGAAAATGAATGACACTGCGACGAGGACACCGACTAATTCATCTTCAGTGAGTACACCTTCACTATGGAGAGTTTCTGTTGGTCTCTGCACATTATGAGCGTACTCAGTCAGCTTCAACCCGACGTGCCCGGGAAAAAGGAGATGCAAAAAGAGGTATCACCGAACACTGTGCATGTTCCGCGAGAAATGACTCCAGTCAGATTGTCAAGGGAGGATTGACTCTTTCGTCATCTATCACATCCGCCACTGAGATTGTGGCCATGCCGGATAAAACTGTTAGAATTATACAGCGGAATCGGAATCTTTAAAATGTTCGGACACTTCCCTACAACATCCTAAAAAAAGACGCAAATCCCACCAGGCAATACCAAGGTGCTTCCAACTGCTTCGGACTTGAGCTCCAGAACTCAGGGCTGTCGGGGGGTGGTCAAAGCAGTTGCAGCTCGGTCAGAGTCCCAGTTGGACACCCCCCAGAGCCCATCAGCCCAGTCCACTCGGTGTCTGACTGCCAAGGCTCGAATTCTCCGAACCACTGGGCACCTCGACTTCTCAATGCCTGGCAGGTCAACGGTTTCACTCCATCCCTATATCCAGGTAGGCCCTAAGGGCAAGCTAGCAACCGGTGAGGTCGGAGAGGGGAGTCAGAAAGGGATCCTCTCATCCTCTCTGAAATTCCACGGCCCCACGGCTGGCCTCCGCAGGATAGGTCAGGCAGGAGAGTCCTCCCCCTTCACAGGGCAAGATGCTGCACGCCTCGCAAGATGTTTTCATAAGAGGCTAGCGGGGGACCAGTGAGAAACCCACGAGGTATCAGTTCCAGCTGAACTGGTACAGTTACAGAATAGAGAGCAGGAGTTTCAGAGCCCTTGGAAAAGAATACCACCTATATAGTTTAAACCAGTCCATCATCAATGCTAGGTAGCATCTTCCGATCCACGTCGTGGTTTTTGATGCCCCTTGTGGGAAACTGATAAACTCGTTGTTTGCAAATTGCATATTGAAATAAATCGAAATCAGGATGTCAAAGAGACTCCCACCTTGACAAGCCACACCGGCAGCTGGCATATTTAAAGAACGGCTGTTCATAACTATTACCAACCAATGGCCCTTCAATGGGCCGTAGCAACATTCACCCCACCAATCCTCGGCGCCTCAGCAGCCCAGGGCGCCACTTGCGGAGACACGTCCAAACCGTTCCTTGGTCATACTGACGAGCCAAAGGGTGCTTCCAAAAGAAGGTGGATGAATGATTGGTATGAACAATGAAACAAGCCCTCGAGCACCTGGTGTACTTCGCCGAGCCGCAGCAGTGCCACTGCATAGCCCGCGCCTGCCCTGAGGCTCCGGTAGCGCAAGCGGCAGCAGGTGGCTAAGCCAGCACTGCACAGCAGGCCTTGGCCAAAGTATGGCCGGCCAATAGGCAGCCACTGATGGCGCTGCTGCTTTTCAAAGAGCAGCTCACCCCCAAAAGAAAGGAATTTTGAAGGAAAACCCATCGCAGCTCAACTGAAAAGAACATCCATCGGTCCTTACCAAAAGGGCTTCACCAGAAAAGGCAACTTTATCCAAAGCTGGGTTTGGAGCGCTCTACCAGCACTGCTTGCTTGCTTGCAGAAAGCACACCACAAAGTTTGAGTAGAGTGAGAAGCAAGCGGTTCCCCGGAAAGCACTATTCGCCAAAACACGAGGTTTCCTTGCGTCTGCCAAATGAAAAGTGACCACCAAGTCCGAAAACGCGCACAGCACCACAACGGGAGCGCAGTTGAGGAACGAGCACTATCCTTTTGGCACGAGCTTTTGGCACGAGCACCTATGCCTGGGGGCCAAAGGTTGCAAGGCCGCTCCTTCAATCCGCGAATGTCACGTCTTTCGTTCAGAAACGTCCTTTGTTTGAAGGTTCCAAAGCCGAAACATCCTTTCTCGAAAACCACCAGGGAACACCACCGGTTTGTCCGTCCAAATGTATGTTTTTGCCATGCCATCCACGCAACCATGATGATTTGACGGAGTGTACACCTTGAAAATGGACATCGGAAAAATGACGTGGAAACTCCATCCCTGCTCGCCAACCCCCTCCCTTGCTTCTCCACGATGCGGCTGTGATCACCGGGAGTCCTGGGCAAGGGGCCCAAGGGGATGCAAGGGGTTCAAGGGGCCCAAGGGGCTGAGGCCTTGGTGAGGTGCACTGGAAGACCCCAACGAAATCAATCCCCATCGACCGCATGTCCAAATGTTTGTTCGAAGCATCTGGCACCTTCTTGAGAAACCCAACAAAAGGCTTCAACGGATGCCTGGACGAGCTCATCCCAGCAACCCCTGGACGAGCTCATCCCTCACAGCGATCCCTCCAACACGTGTGGACAAGAGACGACCCCACGTCTTGCGTGGACGTCGCAGAACGAAACGGAAAGGACCGGAGCATCAGGCCAAGGCATCCTACCAGCCCCGTCATCGAAACCTGCTTTTCTTCCCACACCCCATCTCACCCGTTCGACTTCCCTGTCCAAGTCACATGTCCAACTGGGCCACTTCCCACTTCCCCACTTCCTGGACCGCCTCTGCCGCCTTTGCGGGGCAGCCGGCCGGATGGCCGGGGAGCTGCAGGGGCACCTCGATGGAGGAACGGCTGCGGGCGGAAGGGAGGATGGCCTAAGGAAAAAGAATAGGAAATGGACGAATTGGGCAAACTCCTCAAAACGTGAATGCTTAGCAGTCACTTCATGACGGTCAACGACACTCAACGGAGCTGTTTCGCAACTGTCGCCACTGTCGCCTTGCGACTCCAAGAAGAGGTTCAACGACCGACCTCTCCCGGACCTTTGCGGCCCACCTGAGCCAGCAGGAGCTGCCCCTCCGTGCCGTTCAGCGCGTAGGCCGTGCTCTTCGGCTCCCCGGCCACGTAGATCCCGCTGCCGCTGGTGTCGTCGGCGCGGGTGTTGGCCGCCAGCAGCACCGACTGAGACAAGGAGCTCCAAGCCTCGGCGGGGTCACCCGCGCAACCCGTCATGGGGGGTCACCGGTGGGCGACAATAGTCCAACCCATGGTTGGTTGGACATTCACTTAAAAGGTTACAACATGTGGAGGATCTGGAGAATGTTCCTGTTGGAGATGATTCGGAGATGATCGAAGTGTTGGAATGGGTTTGTAGGAGGCTCTGTTGACATCAGTGATCCAGGCAACCAACTAGTTTGCATGCTTGATCTACCCCTGAAAGAAAGAAAGAAAGTGTGGTGCCACAGAATCGTCCAGAGAAGAAATTTCAGGAAGAAGAGAACGGTCAAAGAACGTTTCACCACACGGATATAGAACCAGATAGGTTTCCATCCTTTTGCTCTGCGCCGGAAACCTTGGGAGACGGGAGACGAGCACTCATGTGATCTCTGGCTCTATTGGTCACGAAACGAGATGTCTTTGAGTTGGTCCGTTTCGGTGAGCTCCCGGACCACAGCAAAGGTCTCCGTTGGGGAATCATAGAAAAATTGATGCCAGGTACCTGTTTTTTCCTATTGGTTGTACACTGGGGGTAACCCCTCTATTAATCAACCAGCGAATATATATATATATATAGATATTCAAACGACATCTACAGACCACAGTGAATATGGATGTCAGTGAATGATGGGAGATGAACATGTTTTTGAGGTCGAATAAAACAATCGTTGCCAAGTACCCACTTCCGTGCAAAGGTATTTGAACTCAGATTCGCAGAGTTCTTCAGTCAGAAAGATGTCTTTTCTCACCATGTCAGTTTCTTATCTTAGTGGATACGCATGCATTCCCAGGAATTCAATAGTCTTGGGCCAAGCATGTGCCTCAATAGAATGCAAAAGGCACCAACCCTCATAAAAGAACGGACTGAAACAGCTGGCGTTTCTGCTGGCATTCCTGCTGGCATTCCTTGCCTCTCGCGAAAGAAAGAAAGAAGATCTCCAACATGAATCCCCCTACCAACTTTGCATTATGTTTGGTTCCTTGGGAATAGTTTCACTGGGAATCCGTTCACTGGGAATCGTTTCACCTGTAGTAACAATAAAGCTTTTTAGTATGTCTTTGAAGCTACTAGGTGGAGGCCATCGTTACTAGCAGCTAGAAGCTACCAGTAGCTTGCTTTCGTTTCAAGTTGCTTCTCCGAAGCTGGAGTTGGGACCAATCATAACAACGTCCGACCATTCGGCCTGCCTGTTGCCAGCCCATCGGTTGCATCTGTGCCATCCTCAGTGTCGAGCTGTTCGATTGAGGACAAAGCGAGGAGGAGGTCTAGCTGCCAGAGTCTAGCTGTTTGAAAGACACCGACAATCGCATGCAACGGTACTGAACTGAACTTTGAACTTTGATTTGATCCTCACTTACTTCAAGCCCCACACCTACTGGTTGAAGCTGATTCCTCATTACGAACACCACTTGAACCGCAAGTCTCTTTATATACTTGCTTTCACCACCAAATGGCTGCGAGTCAAAACCTCTCCCACCAAACCATGCAAGGTTGGCATCCCTTATAAAGGGAACTCTTCAATTGACCCGAATCAACCACGGTGCCTGGGTTTTGCTTGCACACCACCCAACCAATCACAGCAGCATCCGAGTGTCTCGTTGCTCCAGCTTAAAGGCATGACGAAGTGCCGAATGCCTTGCGTCACCAGCTCCAGCGATGGCCAAGCGTGGATGAGGTCCGCGCAAATGAAAAGGCCGAAGGGCACCGACTGACCAGCAGAAATGAAGAAACACGAGGCAATCCACAGTCTGCCTGAAGTATGTTTTTGTTTATGTCTTTTGTTATATCTGCATGATGTTTTGTTGTTTAGAGTTTGTAGTAGCTTCCAAGATGCTCTTCCTCAAGCTGGGCCAGTAACATGACTTTTCGATTCCACACCTGGTTGAATGGTCCATATCCTTCAGAAAGTGTTGGTGGATATCCTGAATCAAGAGTCCATGTTCTATCTTCAATAGGTACCGCCAAGAAACATGCTGGCACTTGCGAACGCAACAATAACACAACTACAGGTTTGCGAAGAGGTGAAGACACCTCATGGTGCTTTACCAACATGCATAATAAGGTACATCCCTCTCTCTCTCTCTCTGTACGTACTATGTTGTGCTTATGTATCTATTCTAAACCTCTACTTGACACTTGATTAAAGAATCTTTCTTGAGCTCCCTCAAGCCTCAAAGCCCTTGATGCGAAAGGTCTTCGGCGAACACTCCTGGCAGCAAAACTGTTGGGTTAGGTTGGACTTGGTCATGAGGGCGGGGCTTGTAGAATTAACTTTAACCCGTGTTTTGCTTGGGTTGGATGCTGGGTTGAGTTGGGCTGGTTCAAGAGACTGGCAGCGTTATGTTGACTTCCTCAATCTTGATCATTCACTCAATTCCCTCTTAGTGCTGATCACAAATTCACCTCCAAGTTCTTACAGCAAATCCCCCTTCCCCCACTACATCTATGTCTATCAGTGCTCTGTGAGATCTCATATGTGGTCGTGGTCGTACGTCGGCTCCTTACTTGCATCCAAAGCGGCCTCATACCAGAGGTTCGCCTTGTGGTACCTCACCCACGGGGGGCACTTGCAAAGACAGGTCCGCGGCTGCGGCGGAGAATGCCATCAGTGCAAAACGATACTCCCCATAGATAGAATATTACAAATGATGGTACTTCCTCCATTGAAGGGTGGGGTCTTTCTCAGAACCGACTTGGAAAACCAGATGTGGTCGCCAGTACCAACTGGTGCCTTTTCTTCGGCGTTTGGACAGTAGTTTCTTCAGCACCACAGCGTCACAGCCGTGTCGAACCGTGTCGCTTCGTCACGTTGAGACGCGATGCTCCGCGGTGTCCTGCGAATCGGTCACCCAGCGAACAGGGAAATCCCGGACCACAGGAAGAGAAAACACACCACATACACAACACACACAAGGGTAGACACTGTACACCGGGGTCATCTGAACAACAGCTGGAAAGTGGCCTGCTTGGATGCCCTATGTATGTATATATATATATATACATGCCCCCCCTGTGTGTTCAGGCTAAGTAACCAGGGTGTTCCGCAACCTGGTGGTTGTTAGTTTGAGTTTCCTGCCACGGTGGGTAAGTGTTTTTCATGTTTTTCGTTCATGCTCGCCAAAGGGCTGTCTGACCAGGTCTGGACCCAACTGTTTTCATGGACAACAGAATCCCCACTGTTCAGATGGGTAGCTTCCTTCCACTCTCCACTTCTGCCACGCTCGGAATCAGCACCCTCTCCGACTCCCCGACTCAGACCGGTCGCTTCTGCAAGAAGCATCCGTCTCGATCCAAGACCACCGCGGTGTTCAACAACAGCTTCCCATCGCGGCGCGAAGGCACCGGGCATCCCGGGTAGTCCGGCTGCTTGGAACAGTCCTGGACCGGACGCATCGGCCAAGCAAAAGGGGTGCACCGAACAGAAACGATCTCGACAAGTCTGAGGAGTTACTGCTCTTGTCCTAACCCAAAACTAAAGCCAAGACTGAAGAAACATGCTGATCATCGGACATATTCTCCTGAGAAGAAATTGCGAACGACCCCCCACCACCACCAGCTTCTCCAGAAGCTCTTCTCCCTCTTCTTCTCCCACCACCCACCCACCTTCAGATCGATGAGGCTGGCCACCAAGGCGACCTGGTAACTGGCCACCGAAACGGAGCACGCGAAGGCCGTGAAGTGAGGAAACCTCTGTTGCTGACATGGCGACTTGAGATGGCCAAACTGTGGCAGAAACCTGAAAGGTGGTGGTGCAAACTATGGACTTTCTCAATACATGGAGACATCTGAGAACTGGTGCCATGTATTCCATGTCTGAAGCACTGAGGACAGCTTTGGTTTCTTAGAATTAGATGCTACTGGACGTGTGAAAACAGGTCAACGATCTTGTCTCAGCAAGTGCTGGTCAGCTTTCGCCAGAAGTTATGTAACGGTTATGCCATCTGCCTGATGCTTTGGAAGCTGGTATGTGAAGTGCTTTTCACAGCCACGTCGGAGTAGTGATCAACCCAGTCGAGCAAACCCAAGCTGCTTGATCCTACCCAATCACCCCACAAACCCATGTGGTCCACGTCTGATCCCATGAGGTGCATGGCCTGGTGCTCTCGCGCCATACAGCTCAACCTCTGTAGAACCCATGGGACGGATGCTCCATGGCCGCGATTCGCATCGCAGGGCGGCTGGTCCATGGGTGCAGGCGGGAGGTCGAAGGCATAGGGCCACCAGGCTTCCTGAGGATGAGAAGCGGTCCCTGTGGGGTCGGGTGTAGTCGTCATCTCGCTTGACAAAGGACGACGAAATTGGACAACGTGGTCTGCTGATATTGGATTTGAGAACGCACTCTTGAAGACTTTGACAGAAGTTCATCGTCTGAATGTAAATCATGTCACAGTTTCTTGTCTACATGCCTTCCTTTCTAGCAACTGCTAGGTTGCAACCCAACTGTTGCAGAAACAAACATGTCCTGGGAATCAGCTAAAAGCATCACTGGATTCACCATGAACACTATCAGACATGTGTTTCCTGTGGCGAGAAACCACGCCAGCCCCTGTTAGTTCGTGCGTCATGAAAGAAGTGCCCTCCGTCAATTCTGTCAGAGCATAGCCACGTGTCCCGCCAGTCCAGCAGTAGCTCGCATGTCTTTATGTTTAATGCTCAACGTTAACAGACACTGGGATTGTTCATGTGAAGACCCAGCTTTTGACTCTCTCCAAAGTGCCTGTTGGAACGTTTTGTCTCGAAGGACACAAATATGCCAACTCCAGTCGAAGCAAGATGTAATCACTGCAAGACCCCGCCTTACATGATCAAGGTGAACCCCCATGAAGAACCAACAAGCAAACAAACACACCAAACGCAAAGAAGCAACGCACAGGAACCATTGTTTTCTATCCCCCCTAAGAGAAAAAACAAAGGAAAAACGACTCACTCACTCCACATGTGTTTTCTATTGGTACCCTCTGCAAACCCAGCGGCTCTCTGCATGCGGAACCCAGTGATGCCATCCTCAGGCGTCACCAACAGCTGAGCACCAGCAGCCGCAGCGGCCTGACCGAGGCAGTTCGCTCGTTGAACGCGTTTGAAAGGATGGAAAGAAAGTAAAAGACCATCTTCGGTAGATCACAAGTGGTTGCATTTGTTCAGTATCTAACATGATATCAACTTGTTGGCTCTGCATCATACACACGGATTTAGTTCTTCACAAAACCCTGCTGTCGACTCTGTTTGTTCGCTTTAGTGTGAACTGGAGAGCTTTTGTAGCGGGGTAAGCTCCAGCGAAAGATGCTTCCAAATACTTCGATATGAATCAGAGCATGGCATGAGGACACTTCAGCTCACATTCTCTGACAAATGGCCAAAACCTCGAAACTCCTCACACAGCCCAGCAATGCCAGCAGCTTCCTCCCTCACCAAGTAAGCAAGGCGCGTTCGGAACCAAAAAAACAGAAATGGACACAACACGCACCTGACACGCACTGGAAACGCACCTCACTAATTCACCTCACCAATTCCAACCCCATGTACCGTTCTTTTCCGTTGGCACCTGCAGCTGCTGCTCGTAGACCTCCAAGTTGGCCTCCATCATCTCCACCGCCGTCGGCCTCCAAGCACATGTCAACAAGGGTGATGGATGGATGTCATAGATCAGGTTTGATTGTTGTTGAATCAAATCGGCCTGAAGAAGTAGAACCAATTCAAATAATTAGGTGTTTGTTTCTTTTTCTTTAACTTTTGTGCATCAAGTGTGAGGGAGATGAAGGTTTTATCCATTCGACCAGACGGAACAGTCGAATCCCCAAAGCCGCAGGACAGCTGCCAGGAGCAGGGACCCGCCAAAAATCCAACGAGGTGAGAGCATAGGCAGACAGGAATGTTGGCCCCCAAAAAACCAAAGCAAAGAAGGAAAACCTCTTCGTTTTTGATACAGGTACTGCATGGGCGCAACCGTTTTTCATCTATCGATTCTCGCTTCTTTTGGGCGAACCGCCGCCACCGACGGTCAGCGCAGGCGGTCAGCGAGTGCGCAAGGTTCCCTTCCCACCTCTGGCGCACTCGATGCTCCAACACCGCCACCGTCATCTCCGCGGCGGTCTCCGCCGCGCACAGCGCGCACAGCGCAGCGCCCAGGAGGTGTCGCATGTTGGCGCGGTCGGGAGGGAAGCACGGGGAAATGCAGTGAAAAGTTGATTTAGAGGGTTTGGGGTGTGAAGGAGAATTGCTATGAGCCTACTGTTAATGGACGAAAATCACAAGGAGAACCTAGACCCCATCTTCCATAAGAACTTAGTTACTTATGGAGTTGCAGTAGATCTATTTCTGGAATCTCTGGTGCTGCAACCCGGGAATTCTGCAACCGGTGCATCACTTGGAGTTGCTTTCTTTAGGCTGAGAAAAATCTATTCAGCTGTCGTCCGAAACAAGCTGCAGTGCAGACACCAAATGCAACATGTAGGAAGGATGGTTGCAAGTTGTAAGTAAACTACCACTTAAAACTTACAGCCAAGATTGGGTGTCAAAACTCCAACAACTAACCAGACATTCAAAACCAATCAGGATGATCCATCCCCCCCTCATTCGGGACCGTGGGGTCCCAACGTCAGTGGGTCCCCACGGGTGAAGTGACGGAAAGAGAGAAGCCACAGGTCCCCACGGGCTCTGTGTCTTTGTCTCGTGGATAAAGAAAAGAGAGCCTTCTTTTCGGGTCGAAGGAGAGCCTGCTTCGCCTCTTGAGGATCCTTTCTCACGGTTGCGAATTTATTTCTGGATGTTTTTCGTTTTTTTATATGTGTTTTTGTTTTTCGTTTGTTTTCCATTGATTTTTTTGTTTGTCCTTTTCCTTTTGCCTTTTTCCTCTTCCTTTTCCTTTTTCCTTTTCCCTTGTCCTTTGCCTGTTTCCTTTTCCTGTTTGTTTTTCCAGTTCCTTTTGCCTTTTGCCTTTTCCCTTTTCCTTTTCCTGTGTTCTTTTCTTTTTTCCTTCCCTTTTCCTTTCCTTTTTCCCTTTCCTTTTTGTTTTGACTTTATTTATTTTTTTTCTTTTCCTTTTTTCTTTTGCTCTGTTCATTTCCTTTTCCCTTTCCCTTTTCCTTTTTCTTTTTCCTTTCCTTTTGTCCTTTTTACGTTTTCCTTTTCTCTTTTGCTTTTTGTCCTGTTCCCTTTTTTCTTTCCCCTTTTTT